GTTGCTATATATTAATGCATGTCTTATTATCAGGTACATATATACGTATTGTCTTTAAATACCAAGAAAAAAGTGGAAGAGAGAGAGAGAGAGAGAGAGAGAGAGAGAAGAGAGAGAGAGGAGAGAGAGAGAGAGAGAGAGAAGAGAGAGAGAGAGAGAGAGGGAGGGAGGGAGGGAGGGAGAGGGAGAGAGAGAGAGGAGAAGAGAAGAGAGAGAGAGAGAGAGAAGAGAGAGAGAGAAGACGAGAGAAGAGAGAGAGAGAAGAGAGAGAGAGAGAGAGAGAAGAGGAGAGAAGAGAGAAGAGAGAGAGAGAGAGAGAGAGAGAGCGAAGAGCGAGTGCGAGAGAGAAGAGAGAGAGAGAGACAAACGCCCAAAGTTGAAGACAAAAAAAAAAAAAAAAAAAAAAAATGGAGGAAGATGTTGAAAACGCACTTATGAAGTGGACGTCAGCGCAATATTCCCAGTTGGCAAGTTCCACTTCCATTCAGCAGCCTCTTTGGTCCAAAACTTTAATTCACTTGGGAGATGGACCAACGGTCATGTCTGCGGCAAAATAAATGGAAATAGAGGTCGATGAAAATTGACGGAATAGTGTACATTTCCCTGGCGTGAAACATGATATCAAGCGTGAGAATGAGAAATCAGATTTTCTGCTATCTCCTTTCTTGATAATCAAGCACATTGCAATTTGAAAGATCTTAAGGCGTTTTAAGCAGGGAAAGTTCTTGCCTGAAATCTCAAGCGTTTTTCTTGCTAACTCAACATTTCGCTTGCTTTCTCAAGCGACCTCCGTAGATGGCTTGATACCGTCACCATGGCAACAGCGTCGGTCGCGTACCGTACTGGTCACGATCCTTCGAATGCGGGCGTTGGCCAGGAACTCCGCTTAATATCTTATCAGATAAATATTTTTTCACGGTATCTGATTCTGTAATTTTCTTAAAATCATATTCAAAGAAATTGAAATTAACTGAAAACGAAAGGAGATAATGGAGATTATGGGAATAAAAAGTGTTTTACTTATA